TATTATATTATACTACTGATACTAATAAAAAAAAAAAAAAAAAAGTATATTTATTTTATTTTATTTTCTCTTTTTTCAGCATTCTAAAATCTATGCATTTTAATTTAATAATAAATGATGAAAAATGCAATTGTATAAATATTTTAATTATCTCTATGTAAAACTAATGTATTTTAGTAATAAGCAATGAAATACATTTACTAATCAATATTAATATCAATATTACGTCTTTAAAAATTACACGCCAAGTCTATATGAACAATAATAACTTCAGCTACATAAATGGAAAAGAAATTACTAATACCGTTGCTCATATTCTGTAAAATTAATGTTTTTATTAAAAAAATTTTAGGTCGAAAAGATATATAAACCAAGAAATGTTTGCAGTCAAATCATAAAAATGCATATCTTCATTTCCTTGTTCGATGCTTCGTTTGCTTTCACCTTTGTCCTGTTTTCAGTTTAATTTCATATCTGACTGGTCAGGGACTATTTGATAAAAAGGAAAGAAATAAAGAATACTTTTCAACGAAAGTATTACGTTCTTTTCATGTAATTGTTATACTTATATAGTTGATAAAAATTAATCTGAAAATTTACGTTATAACAATAATCTATGAAGATTATTAATAACGAAAAATTATTTTCATTTATATGTCATTGGTGACAAATTATTTTCCATTATATTTTTTATCCTGTCAACGCAAATTGTCTTTAATTGTAAATTTTTCTTAAGTTCATTTTTTTCAAGAGAATTTTATGAAAAATTAATCGTCAAACTATAGTCGTGTAAACTGTAGGTCATACATTTTTTAAAAATACTAGATTGTTCAATAATTTATATTCACATACTAAATACTTACTATAAATGATTAACGAATGAAAAAGATTTTTCTATAAACAGTACTTCCTAATAAATCCAAAATCCTTGTAAAATCTATTAAAGGATTAGCTGAGTCGAATGTGAATTTCGATGTTATAAATTTCTTTAACATTAGCTTTGCCTCTCGTAAGCCCTTATCTCACTAATATTCTCGATGTCAATGCAAGTGACACAATACAATTTGTGCTCGCTTCTTTGTCGTGTTGTGACGGAAATTTTATTTCAGAAATTTACGTTGCCTGCGCACATCTCGCTTGACGAGCAGCAAACAGCGCAGCACCGTATAATGTGCTGCTTTCGAGCTCGATTCTAGAACACAAAATATGCTCAGCAGGTTCCAGCGTTAGTTAAGTTACTCGGCTTTTTAAAACATTTTTCTTTAAAACGAGCAATTAAAAGTGCATGCTTTGTTGATTTCGCCGTGCAGGAGAAAGTCTTGATGAATATAGAATTTTTTGGAATTTATTTGTCAAAGCAGAACAATAATACTCTATACTTTTCTTTTATCCTAATGTACTTGGAGCTAAAGACGCTAAGCTCCTATTTATCATATAGTTTAAACTGCCATTATAATGGAATTTGATTGCTTTAAAGAATACGTTTGTTGTTGTTGTTGTTGTTGCTTTTTTTTCAAGCTTTTGTTATGCCATAATAATCGTTTGCTAAACAGTCCACGACTAAATTGAAATCGACAAGAAATAAAAGATCGAATTTCATTATTCAAACGACTATGAACTAGTTGGACAAATAAAATTAAACAAACACGAACTGGCTATAAATTATTAATTATTGTCAAATATTTGTTTATAATCATATTCTATTCGATCATAAAATACTAATGTAAAACAAGGCATTGATAACACTATATAATTAGTCGTGTTTCAAAATTCAGCAATTTTAAATCAGACAATAGACAATGTAATATTGTAAAAACAATAAAAACAGTGCTGGACTTGCTTAAACTAACTGCACAAGTACGTCAGTAATCTTGGTAATGATTTGGACTAATTTTTTTATCACTTTGATGTATTCTCCAACTGTAACAATAATATAAACTCGAAAATATCAAGCATAGACGCTGTATTACTTTTAATAACAAACATTAACATTACAGTTTTGCATCAACGACTCTTTGCTGCGGCATTTCAATCTTTTTCTTACAGAATTAGTTGAAACGTCCGTAAATACTAAGATTTTTGATTAAAACAATTAATTAAGCTTTATCGGATTAAACAATTTTTCGTCCGAATTTTATTATACTACATACATATTTTTATATAAATATAATTAATGCGACATTATTACATGAAATTTATACGATGAAAAATATCGTTATTGTCATATTATCAAGAGCTATATATAATGTATTTGATGGCTTGATAGATCGAATACACGACTGCATAAATGAAATTTTAATATTATTTATCAGTAATTTGAAATATTGCACTAGCCGGTGTATCATAATATTAATTTCGATATTATCTGAAATAGTATCGGAAATTTTTCATTTATCCCACATGCTATTCTCAAGTAGTTCGATATATTTCTCACTAAATATAATGCCATTAACGCAACAACATTTATAATTCTTAAATCAAGTAGTTAATAACGACAATCCTACCGTACAAATAAACTAATCAAGACTGTCATAGTGCATCGTTCTATTTGGCAAAATCTTTTTAAAACGCGAAAAAATGACTGCCCATTGCTTTATTGTAATGATTTTTATCCAACTGGATAAAACCTTTTAATTTAAAGACGTTTGAGCTTATAAACGCCTGCCTTTCTTACAAGCCGTCTAGCAGATAAGTATGACGGGTTGCCAGTGGCAGGGAGTAGAAATACTCCGACTCCACCCACGAGTGTAGCTAGCAACGGCGCTCCAAGGTAAAGTAGTTGCGTTATCTTTTACTTTCGTACTGACGAGTAGCATATCTTCCTATTACTCACCGGCGGCTCGGAAAAATGCCTAGCAAATTTTCCCTATAAATGTGGCGCAACCGAAGCATAATACGCTAAGCGTGCATTTTATATATTTTCAAGACGGGAAAGGTGTTTATTATTTATTCACTGCCTTACCGCGCGATGCCTTCACAAAACATTCCTACTGCTTTACTTACTTGCTTGCTCGCTTTGCGTATTTTTAGGTGAAGTGAGTCAAAAGAGACGCGGCGCTCGCGACATTCGTCGACTCGCGAATACTTCTTTTGTTGTCAAGAGAAAATTAAACATATTCCTTTACGTAATTTTATTTCACTTTCATTTTCGTTATATCCGTTTGAAAATTATTGATCATTAAAAAAATTATCGTCTACATAGATATATGAAATACTTGTTGTTTCTCTTTTGTTCTTTGTATTTTTTTTCTTTTTTATTTTTTTTGTTTTTGTTTTTTTTCTAACAAAAATTACGTATCGATTTCATGCACAAAGCTTTCAAAACTTTATAACTAAAACTTTATAAAACTTTCCTATTTCTAGAGCTTTTTCTTTCTTATATTGAGCGTAAAAATAGGCACGTAGTTAGATAAAATTCTAAAAAAAATCTAACTATAACGATAAAATGTTTCAGAGGGTTCAATCAGGTTAGGTGATGTTTATTATACATGATCAACGTTTAATTTACGAATGCAATTAATAATTAAATAAAAGCAATGCACACGATCGCATAAAACATTATATTTTAAATAATTGATCGATTGTATAAAGAAATGTTTGCAATATTCAAATGCAATTATTACGAATTATTAATAAGAAGACTTGAGTATTTATCGATTATGGTGAAAGTATTAGAAAAATTATGAAAATGCGTAGCCGTAATTTACGCAAAGACATTTGAGTCGAGTGTTACAGTAATTTCACGAAGTTTCAATTCATATTTTAATTTCACTGCTATGCACATAATTTCAGTTGTTTTTTTATTAACTTGCTTCAAGCTCCGGTAGATGTAATGAAAAATTGCATCAAAAGGCACGAATATTTTGTACCTCGAAATTTTTTATCATAAAGAAAATGACGAACATCCAGCAAAAGATCAGACAAAGACAGATATGCATGCAAAATTATATTAAATAAAAAATATTCGCATGCACCATTACTTGCGCGTGTTTTAAATTATTTAATTTGATAAAAATTTTGTATCTAAAATATAAGACAAATAAACAAAGATTTAATGTTTACTTAATTATGTCATTTGTACTCGTAATGAATAGATGATTAATGAAGGTGAAGATTACATTACGAAAGTGAAATATGTCCGGGGCGACAATTGTTTTTATTTAAGCTACGGTAATCTAATTACTATGTACGATAATAAAGTCTACACTTTTTCCGATAAATCTTTTTTATAATCACGCAAAGTCTTTCTCCGCTTGTCATTTCGAACACACGCGCGCTCTCGCAGTGTAAAGTGAATTTGAAAATAACCGAGGAACTGGGGAGAGTGAGAGTACCTGTCTATTAATAGGGCGACTTCGGTGTATCTTTGTCGCGCTCGCGAGTTCACCATTACCACGCAGTTCTGCCTTCGAGGAAAGCAGTCTTATGAAAATTCGTTAGTTTATTTGTAATCCCATTCACGACAACATGTGATATAAAAGAAAAAAAAGATACTCCTTTATTTCATCATCCCAGCAGTAGAAGCTCTCCACGCACCAAAATCGAATCTTCGTCGTAATTAAAAGTGTGTGTGCGTGTAAAATTCATCGAAATTTCTCGGCTTGACAATTTAATCCAAAAATATAAAACTGAGCTAAAAACTTGAGCTGAAAAAGCAAACACGGATGATGTGCATCATTCCGCAAGTTAAAATTGCTGTGTGTGTTAGATAGAGATAGAGATAGAGATAGAGATAGATAGATGGATGGATGGATGGATAGATAGATAGATAGATAGATGGATAGATAGATAGATAGATAGATAGATAGATAGATAGATAGATAGATAGATAGATAGATAGATAGATAGATAGATAGATAGATAGATAGATAGATAGATAGATAGATAGATAGATAGATAGATAGATAGATAGATAGATAGATAGATAGATAGATAGATAGATAGATAGATAGATAGATAGCGGGAGAGGAGAGGCAGATTAAGAGAAGGAAGGAGATAGGAAGAGAAAAAGAGAGACAGTAGAGAATTCTAAATAAAGAACTGCGAATGAAGTACATTGCGCCTAACGACCATAGCAGATTTGAAGGGATATGTGTATGAGTAAGAGCGAACGAAATGGTCGAGCACATGAGCGCTCAGACAACACATTACCAGAATCAGCAGTCGTTCAATGGCGTGCAGACACAGCACTGGCATTATCGCCGAAACGAATTCGAGACTCCCGGTCTGATCAACAATACCACATCCGCCAATAATCATCGTTTCTCCCTGTTCAAGTGGTTCAAGAGACGGGACTCCACGTCTTCAGCAGAAAATACGAGACGCCGTATCTTCCGGAGATCCAAGAGGCGACAGTCGACTTCGAGCACTTCATCCAGCGAAGACACATTTTACAGCACTGCCACGGTCAGGAGCTTTGCCTTTCAAAGTGGCATTCGACGAGATGTCGAGCATTCGTCACTGCCGCTGAGGCACTCGAATGGTGCCGTAGGCCCGTTCGCTCCGGGTGCTGCCAAACTCATAGAAAAACGGACATTTAATGATGAAAAGCTCCAGCATGTAGATACGATTGCTACCTACACGCTACCCAGTGCCTTTACTCAGCGAAAAGATATCGAGAGCAGGTATTCCCTCCATCCGGCCAATGCCCCTTTTCTATCGTACGATAGCATACCAATCGTCGATCGCAGGCCAAGAACTTTCGCAGAAGTACGTAGAAACGTGAACGATAATAATGTCGCGACTGGCTCGCTCGCGTCGAATTCCTCTCTCTCGGGTGTGAAGAAAGTACACGTAAAAGGTAAGAGACGCGCGCCGGAGCCTCCTGTTCAGAGCACCGCAACCGTCCATGTCGCAGGCGAAAATTGTAATTCGAGACGAGCAAGTGGTAGTAGACGCAAGCGAAGACCAGCCCCTAAGCCACCTGGATCTACGGAGAACAATTTATCGAGCAATCATAATACACTATCATCGGGAACATCGACTGGTATGGATACGCTCTTAGCCAGCAAAAGTTGTCAAACAATTAGTAATGATACGCTGGTGCTACGTAAAGGCGTTTTATTATCCAAACGGCGAGACGTTGACTGCTTGAGCGAGTCAAAATCGACGCTACCGACGATATCTGCTTGCGATTCGCACGTCGAGGCAACGACAATTCATAATCCGACGACAGCGAGTGGAGAAAGCAATACGCCGCCATCGGGGACAATGATGCCTCGACCCTGGTATAAGCGTAATGTTTTTAACGATTACTCGAACGGTGGCACGAAAGAATCTTCCATTAATACGAAACGCGGCGGTAATGATATTCTTAGAGGCCTTTCATCACCACTACCAACAGACATTAAGGACGATGGGGCTTCATCGACGAGCGCTTTGTCGTCGCAATTGTCCACGTCGTTTCCATTCGAAGGTTCGCTCTCAAAACTAGGCTTCTTTAATCGCGGCGATCGACATCATCACGATGACAAAAAAAAGGAAAACAAGCGTAAATCCAGCGTCTCGATATTAACGAATATCAGCGAATTGGATAAAGAGGCTGCGGCGATCGTTCAAGAGGAGCAAGCACGAAGTCGCGCGTCCATGATTCTTCAAGCAGCTAAGCTGGATGAAGATTTTGAGAGAGAGACGGGGGCCAACGATGCCATTATCCATGAAATAGTCAACTCGTCGTTAGAGAATTCGCCCCGCAGATCGACGAGAGCTTTAATTTCCAAATTCAACGCCATAGGCAATATCACCAAAGTTACCGTCAATTCGAGCTTTTTTACTAAAGGTAACGGCAACGCCTCGCCCAAAGCCAAGACAAAGAGATTCAGCCAGGAATGTAATAATGGCCGACGAGATAATAGCCGAGTTGATGAAAAAATTGAAAGAGACTTATCAAAGTACTTTCTACCTCATCAGTCGCCGTCCAAGAGACAATCGACATCGATATTCACAGAAATAATAGACGCTGGCAAGTCAAAGGCCTTACACGCCGATGCGAAAGCATCGACAACGTCCAAGACACCGCCATTAACCACATCGACAACGGCAACAATGACAGCGAGGCCAAGAGTTGAGAGGGCTACAATTGAAAAGAACAATAACATGGAATACGTGAAATCGCTGGCTGCCGAATTAGATGACGTCGCTACGGGAATCGCTCGATTAAAACGCGAACTCGATACGAGACCAAAAATCATTGTCAATCCGAAGAATGATCGAGGAAGAGTCGCCCAGACAAACAAGGGGCAAAAGACGATTGTCAATAAACAAAATCCGATTAAGGACAAGGATATCGCGAATTTCGAAAGAGAGTTTACGCAAATTTTCGACGAAATAGACAAGCAATTCCAAACTCGAGATGCAAAAATAGCGGCGACTAAGTCCGATGGGAGCACCAACTTCAATAAAACATCAATTTCAAATCAAGTGGCAAACGTTCTGGATATTCTCGTTAGCGCGGATAAAGGGGATGCGATAGATAGGGGAAAAAACGTTGTATTGCCGCGAGTGGATAGGGAGAGCGTAAAGTCATCGACTGACCAGCGGAAAGGAAAAGTGGTAACGACTGGTGCAGTACGTATTAGTGGTGTTGACGACGAGAGTACGCAACAGCTTAAAGAAATGCTTCGAGAGATGAAGCATTCTTTACCAAAATATCTTAAAGCGAAAAACAGTGGAGAGAACGATGGGAAAACGAAAGAATTTACAATGCTATCGGAAGCGGCTAATAAAAAATCATTTCCCAGGTCGTCGCGTATCGTCAAGGAAACCCTGGCTTCGCCAACAATGTCAACAAAGGTCTCGTCGAGTGTACAGACGTGTGGAAACGTACGTAAAATCATGAATGAAATCACTTCGATGGCGAATGAGAGATCAAGGAGAAACGACGCTTTCGCCGAACCAAGTGCAACAAGCAAGTTGCCAAGGAATTCTTATTATAAGCTAATTGAAGCCAATGAATTTGACGAAATCGAGGAGAAAAAGGACAAAGCGCATCAGGAAAACACTTACGCTAATGTGATGGAAAGATATATGTATGAGAATACACAAATTACATCGACATCTTCTGTAGATAAGGCGATAGGGAAAGGGCGACGCGACTCCAATTCTAGGGTTAAGATTGATTTAAGGGAAACGGATAATAAAGCAACAGGGGCACCGGTTTTGCCGCATGCGAACAAACATAATGTATGCGAAAGGAGCGAAAATAACGACGAAGGTGAATCCTTAGATTTATCAAAGTATTAACAATAACTTGTGAATTTTATTATGGAATGTAATTATACAATAGTCCTATTTATTTTATCTAATACGTATAATACGATCTTCTATTGCAATTAATCCAAGACCTTTGTGATAATTAACACATTCAACGTGTTTGTTAAATTTATTCTTAAAAGTTTGATATATTGTACAAATAATATATGGATAAATATTTGGATAAAAGGACAAAAAATAAACAAACAAACTCTCACTAAATTGTAAAATTTATCGTAGTAAAAGATTTTACTTTTTTTTTTTTGTTTTTGTTTTTGTTTTAACGCGGACATTGCAATATATTGTCGGAGAACAAACTAATATAATTCATTGATTGTAAAACAAAACAAAACAAAAAACAAAAAAAAGGAAAAAAAAGCCAAACACTACATATTGTCGAAGAGAAATAATTCATTCGGTTAGCGAATACGCTTCAACGCGCGCTTAAATAATTTCATTATATAATTCCTATGAATCAAACTCCGTGGCCTAATACATCTTATTCTTTTATTTATCCTAATCAGAGGAAAAATTGGAGGAGATAAAGAAGCAGTGCATGAACACATTGGCTGTGAATCGATTACTTAGGAAACTGGAGGCGGCAATTGCATCGGGTCGTCATCAACAAGCGGCGGGATTGGCCAAAGAATTAGCTCAGTTGAAGATTCACTGTTCCGTAATTAGACAACGATCGTGCAAAGCGAAAGAGAAGCTTAATCTAAATATGTTCATAGAAGATAAAGAGGCCCACCAAGGACCAATACCCTTGCAGGTATAAATCATTTTATGTATGCACATACTGATATTTTCGAAGATTTATATCTCGAGGAATGAAAAACTCGTAGAGAAGGTAATACTAAGAGTATGAAAAAAACAAAAACAAAAAAACAAAAAAAGGAGAAAAAAAATACTCCGAAAACATAAATAATAAATGGTCTAAATAATTATGCATAAATTGTATAAATGATAAGAGAATTAAAGTTTTCATAATAAATAGCTCCTATTCGTTAGAAAATACGAAGGTTTTAAAAGTTTCTTAAATTTCTGAATTTTTTGAAAAAAAAAAAAAAAAAAAAAAAAAAAAAAAAAAAAAAAAAAAAAAAAAAAAAAAAAAAAAAAAAAAACAATAAAAGAAAAGAAAAAAACAAAACAAATAGTCGCTCATTATTGTTAACGTTGGAAAATAATTGCAACGAGCTGCTGCTGCTGCTGCTGATGATGATGATGATGATATTATCACGATGATGGTGATGATATTGTTGCACAGCAAAAGGAGCATAAATTTCATTAAATCATGAATTGTAATGAGCTTACCACCAGCATCGAATCAAAGTCGCTCGAAAAAACACATTATCGCATTCTTTAATGAACCAGTCACATTGTTAATATTTATTTCTAACGGTCGAATGAATTTCTAATTTAGCTTCCAGTAAATATGACAGTAGCACAACTCAAAGCCAAAATTCATATTGAATTTGAAATACCGGCGAACGTTCAGCGCTGGATTATCGGTAAAAATTTAGCTGACAATGACGAATTGACCCTCCACGAACTACAAGCTGTTGAAGGATCACCAATATTTTTATATCTTGTAGCACCACCAGGTATGTGAAAAGTGTGAGGCAAAAAAAAAAAAAGTATTATGGCGAAGGAGAAAGTGTTTGCATTAAAATAGCCTATCGTATAAATTACCCGTAGACCTACAGAATAAAGAAATTATTAAAGTGAATAATAATCTGAAGGAGAAGGAGGAGAAAAAAGTGAAAATCCAACTGGATGAAGAAACAAATGAAGTACATAACGAGCAAATTGATAAGATGAATGTGGAAATGGAAATGGGACTAGAAACCGTTGTCGAAGCCAAATCCGACGTAGTAGTGAAAGCTACTGAATCTGAATCTCGTGAAGTATAATGAAAAAAAAAAAAAATAAAAATAAATAAAATATTAACTAATACGTAGAAATAAGTCAATGTCTTTTATTTTTTTTTATTTTTTTATTTTTTTTTTATCATTATTTTCTTTGGATAGCATGCTAAGTAATGCAAATAATGTAACTTCATAATTTTATCTTCAAGTACAAATTAAACTTAAGTAAAAGAGAATAATGCAAAATAATTACTAATCATTATAAATATAATTTCATCCCGAATACGATAGTACGACTCTAAAGTAAATACGAAATCCTTATACTTACGTACTGCTCGCACGTTCCGTACGTAAGTAGTTGTGATTAGTGTCTCTCGCGTTGCATAAACGAAAATAATGTTGTTTGTATTTTTATTTTTTTTGTTTTTTGTTTTCAGGAAAAAGACGAATCGCTCACGAATGAAGAGAAATTACAACGATACGAGGAATTAATGTCACTTGAAAATTGTGATATTATTTCTAATATAGAGCTTATCGAATGTCCGGTTTGTTTCATGATATTTGGTCCGGGCGAAGGTGTTACGTTAAGAGATTGTCTGCATACATTTTGCAGGTAGGTACATTATTTATATACAACGAAACAACAACGAAAAAAAAAACAAAAAAAAACACTTATATTTATAGTAAAAAAATGAATGGCATATATAATGAAATATAACAAAATGTTAATATTTTATTCGACGAATTTTTAAGCATCAATCAAATAATTCTCATCAATTACACTTGCAATGCACCATCGATCTTTATTTATTTAAGATATAATTGAATTAATTTGGAGGTTTATGGAAATAAGAGAATTACGATAAATGTTTTCAATTGTGCGTGAGACATTAACTAATCCGATATGCGTATACTTAAATATCTATTTGTTTCATTATCTCAGTTACTATCGATTCGGCTTGGATTTTAAATTCGTATAAGCTGCTCATCTTCCATTATACAAAATCAATTCAAGACACTTAAAATATATGATTGTAATGTCTCATATTATGTGAATTTAAAATCCAAGCCGAATCGGTAGTAACCATAAAAAGGAGCAAATAATATGTTAATGTACGTCACCCACGAGTTTATTACATTAAAAAAGCGAGTGACTGTGCGTGCGATAAAATAAAAAAAAAAAAAAAAAAAAAAAAAAAAAAAAAAAAAAAAAAAAAAAAAAAAAAAAAAAACAAACAGACTTTAGTATGTAAATCCAGAGACGATAATCAAATAAGAAATAATCGTCGTGAATTGAACATTGAAACAGGCTGTGCGTTGCGAACACGGTGCGCTATTGTGAGGAGGCCGAGGTGAAATGTCCGTATCGGGACGTCGACTACACCTGCGAATCGACGCTTCAGGAGCGCGAAATCAAGGCCGTGAGTCAAAATGAGCTAATAGCTCATAATAATGAGAAAAACTTAGGCAGGACCTCGCCGTTATGTAATACAATAATGATGCCGTAAAATTTGCTCGCAGCTCGTCGCGCCGGAGGTTTACCAACAGCATCTCGCCAAGTCCATAGCCCAGGCGGAAAACAATGCTGGAAACAACGCGTTTCACTGCAAGACACCGGACTGTGCAGGATGGTGCATTTACGACGACAACGTCAACAACTTCCTCTGCCCCGTATGCAAGATTAATAACTGCCTTACCTGCCAGGTGAGATCGTTGGTCAAGATTGGCGCGAAATGACCAGTCGTTTAGCCACTTTAGCCATTGCGCGGTGAAAAATACGCAGACTCTTACTTTATGATGCAACACGATACGTCGCAGCTGTTCCTGCGACTTTATCTTTAATGAGATACGGCAATTCGTCGAATTAAGCACGTCTTGATGTACGTTAAACGAATGTAATTGCCCCGACTAATGCTAAGGCCGATAGTTAAGATTTTTAAGATTTTGACAAAGAATTCTTATCCTAGCTAACTCTTCTTTACACTTTAGCATTGCGTACAAATTTTCCCGCAAATAGGACATTTGAATAAGAAAAAAAGAAATAAAGAAATAAATTCCACTTACGAAGGCCGGTAAATTATTAGTGATTATGCTAATTATTAAATTATCACCAGCTAAATAATATTGTTAAGTAGTGTAGCAAAAAAACAGAAAACAAAGAAAAACTTGTTATTTTATTATTATGGTAAAAAAAAAAGAAAAAAGAAAAAAAAAAAAAAAAGATAAAAATACTTATAAGATATTGAGGAATACAAATTTTTATCCCTTAAATTTATACTAAATAATAAATATTAAAGGCTGTGCATATGGGCAAGAATTGCCGTCAATACCAGGAGGAGCTAAAATATTCGAAGGAAACTGATCACGAATCTAAAAGGACAG